CTAATCATCAGAGAGATGCAAATTAAAACCACAATGAGGTATCACTTCACACCTGTAAGAATGGCTGCCATCAACAAGTCAACAAACGACATGTGCTGGCGAGGATGTGGAGAAAGGGGAACCCTAGTACACTGCTGGTGGGAATGCAGACTGGTACAACCACTATGGAAAACAGTATGGAGGTTCCTCAAAAAATTAGAAATGGAGCTGCCTTTTAACGCAGTGATTCCACTCCTAGGAATGTATCCTAAGAATCCTGAAACACTAATCAGAAAAAATATATGTACCCCGATGTTCATAGCAGCACAGTTTACAATAGCTAAGATCTGGAAACAGCCCAAGTACCCATCAGTAGATAAGTGGATAAAAAAGCTGTGGGATATTTATACCATGGAATACTACACAGCTGTAAAGAAGAAGAATGTTTTACCCTTTGGGACAGTATGGATGGACCTGGAGAAAATTGTGCGAAGTGAAATAAGTCCGGCAGAGAAAGACAAACATCACATGATCTCGCTTATACGTGGAATCTAAAGAACTTAATAAACTCATTAACAGAATAGATTCAATGACATGGAAGCATAGATGAGACAGATGAATGTCAGAGGGATGGAGAAGGGCAGGTGGGTGGAGGGGGAGAGAGTAACCAAAGAATTTATATGCATATATGCACAACCCAAGGACACGGACAATGGTGGGGAGAGGGACTTGGGAGGGGGATGGGACTGGGTGGAATGGGTCATTGGAGAGAAAATGGGACTTCTGTAATATTTTAAACAAAAATAAAATTTAAATATATATATAGATATATAAATAGAAAGAACAGGAGAACTCTCCAGACAAAGAACTAAGTAAAAAGGAAGCAAGAAAACTACCAGATACAGAATTCAAAACAATGGTTATAAGGATGCTCAAGAAACTTACTGAGAACATCAACAACATGAAAAAGGACCAGTCAGAAATGAAGGATACACTAACTGAAATGAATTTACAGGGAATCAACAGTAGAGGACACAGGGAATCAACAGTTGAGTAGAGGACACTGAGAATCAAATCAATGATTTGGAATATAAGGAAGCAAAAAACTCCTAATCAGAACAGCAAAAAGAAGAAAAAAATATGAAGATAGTGTAAGGAGCCTCTGGGACAACTTCAAGTGTACCAACATTCCCTTCATGGGGGTAAAGGAAGGAAAAGAGAGGAAGCAAGAAATTGAAAACCTATTTTTAAAAAATAATGACAGAAAACTTCCTTTACCTGGTGAAAGAAATAGACTTACAAGTCCAGGAAGCACAGAGAGTCTCAAACAAGATGAACCCAAAGAGGCCCACACCAAGACACATTAAAATTAAAATGCAAAAGGTTAAAGACAAAGAGAGAATCTTAAAAGCAGCAAGAGATGAGCAGTTAGTTACCTACAGGGAGCACCCATATGACTGTCAGCTGATTTCTTTTTTTTTTCTTTAAATACATCTCTATTGATTTCAGAGAGAGGAAAGGAGAGGGAGAGAGAGAGAAACTTCAGTGATGAGAGTCATTGATCAGCTGCCCCCCGCACACCCCCAACGGGGATCAAACCCACAACCCAGGCATGTGTCCCGACCGGGAATCGAACCCCGATCTCCTGGATCCCAGGTCGACACTCAACCACTGAGCCACACCCGGCTGGGCTCAGCTGGTTTCTTAACAGAAATTTTACAGGCCAGAAGGGAGTGTCAAGAAATATTCAAAGTGATGAAAAGCAAGAACCTACAACCAAGATTAACCAGCAAAGCTATCATTTAGATTTGACCATCAGATAAAGAGCTTCCCAGACAAGAAAAAGCTAAAGGAGTTCATCACCACTCAACCAGTATTACATGAAATGTTAAAGTCTTCTTTAAGAAGAAGACAAAGATCAAAAGCATGAATAAAATGGCAATAAATACATATCTATCAACAATTGAATCTAAAAATCAAAATAAACAGACAAGCAGAACAGAAACAGACTCCTATGCAGAGAACATTTTGATGGTTGCCAGATGGGAAGGGGGTTGGGGGGTAGGTAAAAAGATGAAGGGATTTAGAAGTACAAGTTAGTAGTTATAGTATAGTCAGAGGGGTGTAAAGTGCAGCATAGGGAATATAGTCAATAATATTCTAATAACTATGCATGGTGTTAGATGGGTATGAGATTTTTCCAGATGATCACTTAATAAGTTTTATAATGTCTAATTACTGGGGTGTATACCTGAAACTAATACAATATTGTATGTCAACTGTAACTGAAAAAATTTTAAATGATTTTTTAAAAACATGGTTAAATGGCACTGCATGCTAATTAGAATGACTAAAAATAATGCTCATAATGCCAAACACTGTGGAGCAAGTGGAGCTTTTGTACATCGCTGGTGGAAATGTGAAATGGTGCAACCACTCTGGAAACTAGTTTGGCAGTTTCTTTTTTGAATTAAACATACACTTACCATATAATCCACCCATCTTAGTACAGGACATTTACCCTAAAGGAAAAAAGACTTATGTTCACACAAAAACCTGGACATGCATGTTAATCTCTATTCATAATCACCCCAAACTGAAAATAACCCAAATGTCCTTCCCAGGTGAAAAGGTAAATGAAATGTGGTACATCTCTACAATGTAATCCCACTCGGCAATAAAAAGGAATAAACTACTGATACACAAAACAACTCGGATGAATGCCAAATGCATTCTGCTGAGCGAAAGAAGGTAAGTCTCCAAAGGTTACACACTCTAGTATTCCATTCTTAAAGAGACAAACCTAGAGTGGTGGGGAAAAGTTCAGTGGCTGGCTGCTCGGGTTGGGTGGGTATGTGTGACCACGTAGCAAGAGCTTGAGGGAGAGTTCTTTGGTGTGATGTAACTCTTCTGTGTGCTGGTTTTGATTATGGCTACATGAACCTATACATATGTTATAATTCATAGAACTGTACATAAAAAGTCAATTTTACTTTAGGAGAGTTAAAAAAATAAAACATATAAACTGTTTTCAGAATAACATATAAAATGCACAGAATCTGAATGTTGAGATTCAAGGCATGACATGATCTTCTTTGTACTTTCCTATGTAGACCAAACTGTATATAATAAATTATAATTTATGATAAATCAGTTTAACACATAGAAACAAAATACTCTAAAATGGCTACAATATGTAGGTGTTTAATATTTCTCAGTAACTTCAACAGGCACTAAGCCTAAGGATTTTAGTTTTCTTCTCTCATATCCAATACTATATATCAAGGAAACCAAATGACCCCTTTTCCCCTTTTATCAGTGATGGGAGGGATGTGACCAAAACTAGACCTTGACTAGTATCTCCTGATCAAACACTGTGGTGTCATGCTTGTAATTTATCCCATCTCATCCTCACTGCAACTCTGTGGGTATGAAACCAATGTAACAATATTTAGAGCTTTTTCTTGTGTGCACAGTATCACACTACATGGATCATATTTTGATCAAGTTTAAACTGAAGCTTAGATCAGCAGAGAAAAAGAAATATATCATTTCTTTCCTACTTTAAGTAAGATTTGGAATCCAAACTCCTGCCTCATACCTATCCATTGCATAACTGTAATCTCAGGTCAAACCCCTAATGATTCCACTTTTAATGGCTACATATGTGTGTTATTAATCTGTTTATCTTCTAACTATCCAGTTCTTGAAAAGTGGCAACCCTTGGTATTCATACAATGAATAGAGAGATGGACAGATAGATATTGGCTGCCTGGATGGGTAGATGGAAGGGGGGGAGGGGAGAGAGGGAGGGAGGGAGGGGAGAGGAGAGAGA